CACACCCACACCCACACCCACACCCTTTTTACACTTAGAACAATTATTCGAATGAGACCAGATGAAGTACTTCGAAAAGGTTAATTTAATTATAGATATTTTTTTTTTATAGATAAGTAAAATGCTATGAGAGATTAATAGAAGTCACAAATTCATTTCATTTGATGATAAGATAAATGTTATGATTTTATACAAAAAATAAATAAATGCGGAAACTTCGGATTTAAATCCGAGAGTTATGTGTACTTCAAAAAGTGAATCATACAAATCAATCATCCTAGACTGTCTGAATATCAAAATTATACTGTGAAATCTACCATTTAAAATGTTGATTTCTATTACGCGTTGCCAAACCAATAGGACATGGGTCAAATACAGCTCAAGTTTGAACTCTTTCCCTTGATTTACCCTAAGAAAGTCGTTTTTCCTATAACTTCATTTCTATTGGTCACTGCACAACTAATAGTATTTCGATGGAAGTGCAGTACACATTCGAGTTCTCCATATCTGAAAACCTCGAAGTATCATCAGTGTGATCGGAAGCTAGAGCTCGATTTGTGGATCAATTAAATCGTGGACCAAAATATAACCTAGTTCTCTTTAATTATCCTTGTCATAGGTGAGTCAACCTTCTTGTTTCTCTATGCTTTATATATGATTTTGTAGCTCTTGAAATTCTCTATCGAATGGTATATAATAATTGGGGTTTTATTTGACTATGATAGGAAAAGTCTTTTACGAAAGCGGCGATGGGTCGATTTTTCCACAGAAAGCTATAGAGAAAAATGGGTATTTTTGAAATAACTCAGGAACGACTCGGCCGATCCTTCTCATCTTCGAATTCGACGGAGATATTGTCAATACTAAGCTGTGTAGAAAGTTTCATCGCAATCTGACTCTGCTGTCAAAAGTTATCATGTAAACAGCCAACCGGACGGACGGACACACTGACTATTCTATAGTGTACTCACTTTTTGAGTAGACAAAACTATGATTCGGTTCAAAACTAATATCAGATTCAGAATCAGCGTTAAAAACTGAGTCGATTTATGTATTTTGTGAATAATTATGAGCAAAAAATTTTTTTCAAAAAATCCCCGTACCCCCCCTCAGGGATGGTCTCGTCAAAAATCACAATTTTTTCGATAACTCAGTCATTTCTTGACGGATCCTTCTCATCTTCGAACTCGACCGAGATATTGTCAAGACTGATCTGTGTAGAAAATTTCATCGCGATCTGACTCTCCTTTCAAAAGTTATCGAATAAACGGACGGCCGGACGGCCGGACGGCCGGACACACTGACCGATTTTAGTAGTGTACTCACTTTTTGAGTACACAACAAAACTGAAAGTTGCTGTTATGATACAAAGGACCATGTTGTAGCTATAGCTACCATCGTAAAAATAACTGTGTAGGATAATAGAAAAAAAAAGGGAAGGGAACACCTACGCATAAGGACGAAAATTAAGGCGAATTAATTTTGTAAATGAATCTTTCTTATATATCAAGTACATAATGCACGTTTACATATAAATACAACTATATGTAGATCTCAATTTCGTCAGTTTAGAAGCAAGTCAATCGAATCTCGATGAACGTTACGTTACATAGAGATTCAATGTTTTCAATAATATCTGTCGATTATTGCTAAAGTTATATAATGATGAATTTTAGGTTGTAGAACATTATGTGAAACATTATTAATGGTACAAGCATTTATGGCTGATGTTATTTTTCCAAATAAACATGAAGATGAACAGTATAAATATACAGATGATAGTCATTTACTTATTTCGGAAACTTATGTTGGTGTAAGTGTTGAAATATTTGAATCAGATGTTTTTCGTAGTGATATACCATGTCGATTTAAAATTGTTCCGTAAGTTTTTATTTATTTCTTGTTTTTTTTCTATATGTCGAGAAAAAAAAACGAATTTAGTGAAACAGTCGAATATTTAATTGATAATATTGATCGAACACTTCAACAATCAATTGAAATTGAAGAAAAATTATCAATAGATTTAATAGAAAATTTATCTGAAATAAAAGAAGATATTCTTCAACGATTACAACATTTAAAAAATATTCCTAATCGTCCTGAAAATCTAAATGGGTCGCGTTCACTTGGCCGACAATCACTTGGTCGACCCATCACTTAACCGACACCACTTCGCCGACAAATTGTTTGGCCGACATGTACACTTCGCCGACAACTCATTTGGCCGACAAATATTTGAGATCAAAAAAATTGAAATTTCTTGAAAATATTGCGTGGATTTTTCCCACTCATTCACCTATAAATAGTGAAAATTTTTCAAAATAAAATCAGACGACGATTTTTTATCAGTTAAAACAAGTCTCCCGCTAACAAACTGTTTCCAATGAGATAAGTTCGATTTTCTTCGGGGCATTGCCCATAACCTTTCATTGTAAATAAATGTGACTTTTGATAAAAAGATTTTCTGACGCAATATTTTCAAGAAATTTCATTTTATTTTACTTCAAATATTTGTCGGCCAAATGAGTTGTCGGTGAAGTGTACATGTCGGCCAAACAATTTGTCGGCGAAATGGCGTCGGTCAAGTGATGTGTCGGCCAAGTGATTGTCGGCCAAATGACCCAGACCCATCTAAATATATATCATTTAGATATTGATGCTATGTATCCAAATATAATGATAACAAACCGTTTACAACCATCAGCTGTCGTTAATTCAACAATATGTGCTCAATGTGATTTAAATCGTCCAAATGGACGTCAACATAAAATGGATTGAATATGGCGTGGTACATATGTTCCTGCTAGACGTAATGAATTACAATGTATTCAATTACACCTTGAAAATGAACGATTTTCGTTTAACGGACAATCAATTGAAAAAAAATCATTTATAGATGGATCAAAAAAAAGGAACAAATAATACAGGTAGAAAATAAAACAAAACTTCTCCGTACTGAATAGAGTTCTTAGATGTATCGAATTTCGTTTGTTCTATATGTTTTTAATTCTTTCGTCAGTCGAAAAATGTGTACACATCTACATATAATGAGAAATAGCTGTTCAGGAATTGACAAATAGACATGCTTAAATACCATTCTATAGGGCTTTCTTTAACTGAAAAATGAGATATTTCACAAAGCTGAACGCTTGTCAGTTAAGAGTTTATCTATTTTACACTGTTTTCAAGATAATTGATATATATCTCGTTGCGTTCCTAAACTGTAGATAAACTTATAAACAATACATCGTCTGATAGAGTCCTATCGATCCATGTACCTTATAGAAGGTTTTTCTCAACTCCTCCAGAGTTCAATAGTTCCAACCCATATATACAACTCATGGTTACACGATCTAAAAATGTAGTTTTCACAAACCAATTAGATAGAATAAGCAGACTATTCAATAATCCTCATATGTAAAAATTGTCTTTTCTTTTTAGCTAACAATAATAATAATACTCTATCATTTCATCAATTACCACAAGAAACTCAATTATCAATTGAACGTAAACGTTTAGCTGATTATTGTCGTAAAGCATATAAAAAAAAATCATACACGAGGAGAAACACAAGAAACAACCGTATGTCAATGTGAAAATTGTTTTTATATTGATACAGTTCGTACATTTCGTGATCGATGTTATGCATATTAAGGTTTACATAAAAAATAGAAAAAATTTAGGAAATGCAACAAAAAAACATGATCTTAATGAAATTAAACGTTGTAAAAAATTTAATTGTTATTTATGTAAAGCTAAGATCTTATTATCTTTACTTTTGATCATGTATGTTTTTTTTTCAATATTTAGAATTCATTACAACTTGCACATAAATGTGTTCTGAATTGATTTTATGGTTATGTTATGCGAAGAGGTTAGTTTAAAATGTTTAGATATGTTTAAAAAAATTTAATTTTTAATTAATTTAGGTTTTCGTTGGCATCGAATGGAAATGGGTGGTATTGTATGTACAACAGGTTCAATTATTATCAAACGTACTCGAGAACTTGTTGAACAAATTGAACGATCACTTGAACTTGATACAGTAAGATATCTAATTTTTCAAACATAAACTCACAATAATAGAAGTTGAAATTTTTCTATTCTTCCTATATATCGTGACTAACATTGTCTCAAAAATAGGTTGGTAATTTACTAAAATAGAAATTGTTTAGCATATACTTGTATCTGAGCATTTCTGTTGCTAGTCATGAACAACTGATTGTCTTGCACTACCCATCTAGTAGCACAGGATGACATGCATTGATTCTTGTGGTTTGTCGGGGAAGTGGTCAATAGAAGATTAACAGTAAATTCTAAACATTATCAATCTGCAACTTTTATCTTATTTAATATTTTTGGGCTTTTTTGGCCAAAACATTTATTTGAAAATATTATGAATCAATAGATTTTTGGGAACAGTTTTCTAATTTTTCATACGTTTACACTTTTGATTAACAAGTCAGACAAATGACTACTTAATATTAACGAATCAATAGATTTTATACAAATTACTTTGTTTTTTTTTTATTTAGGATGGTATATGGTGTGTATTACCAGCAGCATTTCCTGAAAATTATGAATTAATAACACGTGATCCATCACGTCCAAAAGTTGTTATATCTTATCCATGTAGTTTATTAAATTTAATCATTAAAGATCATTATACAAATGATCAATATCATGAATTAGTTGATAAAAATAAACACATTTATGAAATTCGTTCAGAAAATTCAATTTTTTCTTTGAAATTTATGGTCCTTATTTAACTATGGTATTACCAGCATCAAAAGAAAAAGGAAAATGTATAAAGAAAAATGTTATTATATATTTAATATGGATCGTACTATAGCTGAATTAAAAGGTTTTGAAATAAAACGTAATGGTGAGTTACAATTAATAAAAATATTTCAAGCAAGTGTTTTTGAAGCATTTCTTAAAGGAACAACACTTGAAGAATGTTATAATCATGTTGCAACTATTGCTGAGTATTGGTTTGATATGTTATATTCACATGCAAAAGATATATCAGATAAAGAATTATTTAAATTAATATCAGAACGAAGAACTATGTCAAGGATGTTATCAGATTATGGAGAACAAAAATCAACATCAATTTCGACAGCTAAAAGGTAAAATTACTTAACGCATTGTTCAGATAATCTTAACGATGATCCTAATATCATCAAATCATCATTGGCTACTACTTTTGAAGCATGGCCCGTCGGATTTGTCCAGGATCAATCCGACAGGCTCTAATTAAAAGAGCTAATACTTTCACATATGTTCATGAATAAAAGAACTTACTCAAAAAAAAAATTAGTGCTTTTAAAGAATCAAAGTCAAAAATAAGATGTTCATATCCCATTTTGACTAATTCTCACTCATGTCAGAGATAGAATCGATTCATGTTTTTTGAAGCTGAACCGGTCTTATCTCTGACCCATATATCAGATCATCCAATCAATCGCAAATAGATTAAATCTCGTGAAAAGTACTAACGAAGAGATGAAATCTTGTGGCTAACTTGGAGTTATGACTGTTATACTGGATTTTCTATCATGGGCACGGTATTCATAAAAAGCCAGACAAATGAATTTTGGCCTAAAACTTTGCCCATAGCAAAAAAGACTAGATTTTTTGTACTTTTGGTGGAATATCATTGTTTTTTTGTGATTTGATATCCTAAGAAGAGAGCACTATTTTTTGGCTGAAATTTTAAGGAGATTCTAATGATTCCAACAGCTGTCTATAGGTAAAGTTTTAAGCCAAAATTCGTTTTTCAGATTTTTTTTTTATTAATACCGTTCCAAAGGTAAAAGTCCAGTGTAATGGCCATAACTTAAAAAGAGCAGCGTATGGAGAAGAATCCTTCTAGGTTTTTTCTAGTCTCAGTAGACCCTATGTAATGACTGTGGTCTCATCGCAAACGTGAGCTATTACCTCAACTTGTTTCTCATAAATAAATCTTCGCTAGATCAAATTGAATGTATACTATTAATTATATAAGTCTGAATAATTCATTGAAAATATTTTTTTTTTTAGACTCGCTGAATTTCTTGGTGAAGATATTATTAAAGATAAACGTCTTTATTGTCGTTTTGTTATAGCTAATGTACGACGTGATGCACCTATTACTGAACGTGCTGTTCCATTAGCTATATTTCAATGAGAACAATCTATACGTAATCATTATTTACGTAAATGATTACGTCCGCCTGTCGGAGCTATTTCAAATAGCTACAGGGTCCTAATGCTCATGCTAGCAAAGGGAGGCGCCCCTGGGCTGCCGATAGCCAACTTGTCTTATTCCTAGGATAGCCCCCTATCTATAGGATACAAAACTTTTACGGCTAACGAAAAAGATCAAGAACAATGTGTAAATACACGCAAATCAGTTCTTTTTGCTGAATGGAATGAAATGGTTACGTTTATCAATTGTTGATAATCTTGATATACGTGAAATTCTTGATTGGAATTATTATATTGATCATTTTAATAGTTGTATACAAAAAATAATAACTATTCCAGCTGCTTTATAAAATATTCGTAATCCAGTACCACGTGTTCCACATCCTGATTGGTTACATAAACGTTCAGTTGAAAAAAAGAACTTTATATAAACAAAAAACGTATAACTGATGTATTAAATTCAATTAATAAACAAACTTATATAGATAATAATTAACAACAATTAATATTAACAAACAAATGATATTGAAGATATAGGTAAATAAACTGAATCATCAATAAAATTAATAAAAAACAAAAACAAAAACAAAAACAAAAACAAAAACAAAAAACATTAAAATGTAAACGTGATGAATTAAATGATAAAACAATAACACATCAATGGAGAATTATTCTTGGTCCACCACCATCATTTGATCAAACAACAAATCAATATATTAAATGGTTTAATTATCAAAAACATAAATGGAATATACAACATGAACAATGACATCAATCATCAATTATATCAGATAAAATTCAATTAACAACAAAAAAAAAACCTTCAATTGATGGTAAAATTGATACATATATACGTCGTGCAGCTGAACATTTACATACACGTCCATGACAAATAATATCATATGAATTAACTGATCAAATAGGTATATTTAAAGCTTGGTGTTTAGTTGAACATGAATTAGTACAAATTGAAATAAAAATTTCAAGAATATTTTATGTTAATTATCGTACATCAATTGAAAATAATAATAATAATACATATGAACAAATCAAATCAATACGACGATCAATTGGTTATAAACGTACAATAAATAATTATTCAAAACATGTTAATCGTTTATTATCACGTTGTTCACAAGCTTATTATTTATATGAATATCGTTTAGATGAAAATCATTTTCGTAATTATTATATATATATATAATAACAGAGTTAAGTAATCCAAATATAAGTGTTTATGAAATGAATGCATCCTTAGATTTTAGTTTACTTATTATACTTGATTGTATATGTTCATTACATAAAGAATATCATCGTACAAATATACTTTCAAATTTATATCATTTTAATGAATTAGAATTTTTATCATTATCAGAATAAACATATTTACAATCTGGTACATTACAATGTAGGGTGTGGGTGTGGGTGTGGGTGTGGGTGTGGGTGTGGGTGTGGGTGTGGGTGTGG